AAGTCACGGTTGATGTAACTCCCAGCTCCTTTGTGATGTAACAAATGAAAGAAGAGTGTCACGTACTGCACACAGTGTTTTATGGCAGTCTTGTTTTGCTTGATGAAACCGAAGGTATAAAAAGCTCTCACAGAAAGCGCTTAATCTGATGTCCCCGATTTCACGGCTAGACCAGACTTGCACCGTAAACCCACATATTCCGGAGGATAACTTTATCTTGACCCAAATTCAAGCAATTATGTCTGATATAATTACGGTTTAGTCGCTCTAGGGAGGTAATTAATTCTTTCGATCCCAAGAGAAGCTATTTTCACTTTTCCTGTTGACAGGGCAGTCGTCCTTTTTTGTCATTAAGAGGTTATCGAGCTAAAAAAAACAACATAATGTTGGCTATAAGAAGGAATGGTCTGAAATATGTGCATTTCTTGATTTTTTTTCAAAGGGATAGTAACTCAAGAATGTTTATTTGAGTTGACTGACCCTCAACTAAGCAGAAGTGACTGGATTATCTATTAATAAACGAGAGGGCAGTTTTCTGGGAAACCATTATTTGTGCAATTCTGCAAAAGATACTAGAAATGACGCATCGTCTTGATGCTTACGCCCCATTCACATTCACTTTGAATGGGTGACGTCAAGTGTTGCGAAACTGCATTGTGGATCCGTCGCCGCCGCTTCAGAGGCGTTGCTCGCTGCAAAAGTTGGGACTAGCTCAACTTTTCAAGCGCCGACGGAAGCTTCAGCCAATCAGATCGCTGTATGCAAATACACCAGCTAGACAGTGGCCTATTGCTGACTGAATTTCATTGGCTGACGCTGCTATGACGATCGCTTCAGCCCCAACTTCAGACACTCGTTCAGTCAAGCGTTGACGCTGAAGCCCCGTGTGAATGGGGCGTTAGAGTTTTATCCATAACATAACGTTTTAGGTGGTTGCCTGTCTGTACACAGTGTGAAATGCGATTAATTACTTTACCTAAAGTGAGTAATTCTGCTGTCTAAAAGTCAGAAATCAAAATGTACTCTTCTTATTTTATATGTATATAGTAGAGCTTGTTATAAACAATCTATCTGTGCACTTCATTATTAAAAAACGCCTCATAATTCATTAATTTACCATCCACTTAGTCCCTTATTTATCAGGGGTTGCCACAGCGGAATGAACCGTCAACTATTCCGTCATATGTTTTAGGCATTGATTGTCCTTCCAGCTGCAACCCAGTACTGGGAAACACCCATACACTCTCACATTCACAAACACACTACACCACAGCCAATTTAGTTTAATAAATTCACACGGGGAGAACATGCAAACTCCATACAGAAATGCCAATTGGAACTCGAACCAGCGACCTTCTTGTGGTGAGGCCACCGTGCCGTCTTTATCCCCATAACCCAGCAGACACACAACGCCATAAGACGTTTAAAATTACCATTCATTCATTCATTTTCTTTTCAGCTAAGTCCCTTTATTAATCTGGGGTCGCCGCAGCGGAATGAACCGTCAACTATTCCGTTGTATGTTATAGGCAGCGATTGTCCTTTCAGCTGCAACCCAGTACTGGGAAACACCCATACACTCTCACATTCACAAACACACTACCCTTCAGCCAATTTAGTTTAATCAATTCACACGGGGAGAACATGCAAACTCCACACAGAAATGCCAATTGGAATTCAAACCAGCGACCTTCTTGTGGTGAGGCCACCGTGCCGTCTTTATCCCCATAACCCAGCAGACACACAACGCCATAAGGTGTTTAAAATTACCATTCATTCATTCATTTTCTTTTCAGCTTAGCCCCTTTATTGATCCGGGGTCGCCGCAGCGGAATGAACCGTCAACTATTCCATCATATGTTTTTGCAGCAATTGTCCTTCCAGCTGCAACCCAGTACTGGGAGACACCCATACACTCTCACATTCACAAACACACTACACTACAGCCCATTTAGTTTATTCAATTCATATGGGGAGAACATGCAAACACGGAAATGCCAAGTGGCCCACCCGGAACTCGAACCAGCGACCTTTATGCAAAGAGGCCACCGTGCTGCCTTTATCCTCATAACCCATACGACTTTTAGTATTAACATATTCGGTTAGATTTAGGTCCCCAGCATCTAAGGACAAAGTCATTTTGGCATCTGATTGCGACGTGAAATGATGTTGATATTTTGTTGATTTTAGGTTGTGTTGAAAAGTGACACACATCGTGTCCTACATCGTGCCAATATCATATTGACAAACAAAATTACCAAAATCCAACATCTGAGAAACGTTATATTGATAACTTCCACACAACGTCATGCTGAAAAATTATTAGACATTGATATTTTGTTGTTTTCAGGTTGTGTTGGGAAGTAACCAAAATGCTAGACGTTCGACATTGACGTTGGCCTGTTTTTGGGTTCTAACATCAACCCAATTTTCATTTGCAAACAAAATGCAATGTCCCACAATGTTGGGGTGCAACGTCAATCTGACATCATGTTGACAT